AATCAACCCGCCCCACGAGCACGGGCTCCCATGACGCCACCTGATCTTTATCTATTCGATCCAGCACATCATCTCGCAGGAGCATGGCTGGCCACGCTTAGAGCACAGCAATATGATGACAAAGAAGTGCAGATAAACATTCCTGGTCGATTAGGAGGGGACGCTCATCATTGGTTTAGTACCTATGTATGGGTTGATCTTCCGACCTTGGAACGGGATTTCATGAATCGATTTGATTATGTCCACCCAGAGCAAACACTCTACATGATCAAAGACCGACGACAAAAACCTCTCGAGTCTGTCGCAGAGTATCGAAACCGGTTCTACCGAATGTTTGTGAAAACTGAGCGAGGCGAACAAGTCGGGAGGAATTTGTTCATTGATGGGCTTCGCAGTCGAACGATTAGGGGTATTAAGGGCTAAGTTGCGAAAGCAATTTTTCCCCATCACTCACATGCTGCAACAAATCATGACTACTACGGAAGAAATGGAACGGAAGTTCTCGCCGAACTTCCTGAAAGGAGAAGATTATTCTAGAGAAGGAGATTCATTCGAACTCGCACGAGCAAGAGCCAAGCTGGTTGCGTTACAGAACAAGTTTGAAAATATGGGATTTGTGTCTGGCCCAGTCACGGCGTCACCTATTTGCAGCAGATACGTCCAAAACGACCAAACCCAAGTGAGATCCCGAGTATTCCTGTCAAACCTAAAAATCCCGCGCCCAAGGAAAACCCGACTAGCACTTCGTATCCGATACGAGTAGGGTTAATCAAGAAAGACGATCATTTCCTACGAATTAAACCCATCCCGTGGAAATCCGCAGAATGCGAAATTGGAATTTGGGGAATTCCTTATAACGCAATTATAGATTCGGGAGCTGCTGTTTTGGATATTTCACTAAGGGTGGTTGAGAGGGCAGGTAGAAAAAACGATCTGATCATGCTTGCCGAAAAAGATCGGCTCGTCTCGGCGGACGAAGAAAAGATTAAGACCGTGGGAAGAATGACCAATGTCGCCTTCTGATTAGGAAAGGTGCACGCATTGGGAGATGTTGTGGTACTAGGCGTAAATACCTACGACGTTCTTTTTGGACTTCCCGCTCTCGTGGCATTACGAGCGAGCCTGGACTTCGAACGACGATCAATTATCCTCCGAAATACGGGAGGAAAACCTTATGCTGTACCTATGAGGTTAACCCTTCGTACTACCACTAATGCGGTCCCACGGGTCTCTCCGATGTTAGCAGGAACTCTCCGTATGATCTCCTGGGAAGAGTCAGCGGACGGCGAGTCATCAACGAATGATGCGGACAACAATGATGAGGACGATCTGGAAATCTCGAAGCTAGCACGACAGCGTGTTTACTACCCGCCACCCAGAACGATAGCAAGAACGGTGCATCTGACTAGTCGGAACATTCAAAGGACCAAGGCGATGATCTTGGGTGAACCCCTCGTACAAATTTCGAGGATGGTCGATTCCTTGGAACCCCCTCAAACCTTGTACGAAGGAATCACCCCTCTCCTCGCCCGGTACAGTGACAAAAAGCATTACCGCGATATTACGGATCTACCGAAATCCCTGTTAAGATCCGCCAAAGAAGTACGGTTGCTACGCTTGGGGGCAGAAGCCAGTTCTCTGGAACCCCCTGGGCGTGTTGAGGCAGAATCAATCGAACTCGAAATAAAGATCGCAATTAAAATCGTGTCATGGCAAGATATCTGTGACGGGATCACCCCGGAAGGGCACGTGGCCATCCAGGAGGAAGATGCCCAAATGATAGCCACGATGTTCTCGTGGCGATCGGACCATTCGTTCATCTCTGCGCCACCACCCGACGTAGTGAAACAGGCACGCACGAAGCAAGTTGACGTACGAAATTGGGATCAACTTTTTGAACTGCACGTTCCGCAATATGTGCCTGATGAGATTCATCGGGTGATCGCGGATATTCTGACGGAATATCAGGGAGCGATTAGCGTGACAGACACTGACATTGGCTTGTCGTTAGTTATTCAACACAAAATTCAGACAGGAAATCATTCCCCAATCCACTGCAAGCCCTACCGATACTCCCTGATAGAACGCAAAAAGGCTCTCGAACGAATTCGGGAGTTCGAAGCCAGCGGGTGGATTGAACCCGCAACCGGACCATGGTCATTTCCCGTAGTGTTAGTGCCGAAGAAAAACGGATCAATTCGCATCTGCATCGATTATCGGAAGTTGAATGAAATCACGATTAAAGATGTGTATCCCCTCCCCCGAATTGATGATTTGTTGGATGCGATTGGTTGCGCCAATTATTTTAGCAAGTTCGATATTCGGCATGGCTTCCATCACATTCTGGTGAAGGAGGAAGATCGGCCAAAGACGGCCTTCGTGTTGTTTAAAGGCACGTGGCAGTGGGTTCGGTGTCCGATGGGGATTTGCAACGCGCTTGCCACATTTCAGCGAGCGATGAACATGATATTCTAGAACTTCGTCAACAAGACGTGGCTAACACAGGGGATGATCAACTTCTGCGTGATCGTGTATATGGACGATATCCTAGTCTACTCGGAGACCTATCCCAGGCACGCGCAACACATCGAGTGGACATTGGGAGCGCTGAGAGATGCTGGGTTCAAAATCGCGCTCGAAAAGAGCGAATTTTTCCTTTTGGAAATTTCGTTCTTGGGCTACGTCGTGACACGTGGAGGACTGCGGCCCGACTCGAGAAAGGTCGCGGCGGTAAGGGGAGCCCCAGTTCCCACATCACTAACGCAGGTTCGAGCCTTTTTAGGGTTGACATCGTATTATCGCCGCTTCATCAAGGGTTTCACCGCGATTGCACGACCACTAACGAACTTGCTACGAAAGGACCAGCCTCTCAGTTGGGACGCGGGGTGCCAACAGGCCTTCGCGACCCTCAAGGACGCTCTGGCGACGACTCCTATTTTGATCCGACCGGACCCCTCTAAGCAGTTCATTCTCATCACGGACTGACAACCGAAAGCTATATCCGCTATTCTAGCGCAGAAGGGGAACGATGGTCGTGAACACGTCATCGAGTACGCGTCGCGCACGGTACCGGACGAGCGGAGGAATGACTCGGCGCCTCAAGGCGAGTGCTATGCAGTGGTCTGGGGAATCCAGCACTTCCATCCGTATCTCTACGGACATAAGTTTCGCCTCGTAACAGATCACAAACCTTTGCTGGCGTTGAAGAAGATCACTAATTACACAGGCATGATTGGCCGTTGGGCGGTGCGACTACAAGAATACGACTTCGATATCGTTCATCGAAAGACAGAGAGACACGGCAACGCGGACGGACTGACACGTCTGCATCGACCTGCTAAAGTACCAAAGGGCGAGGAAATTACACCGTGGAAGGAGCTGGACTTGACAAACGAGCCTAAGTACGGACAAGTGGTAGTTCTCCCACGTGGCAAGAAGCAGAATGGTAGCGATGGGTGATAGAGGTAACCCCACTACCCCTCTTTCTCCCCTCTCCTCTTCGTCTCTCCTCTCCCTGCCTGACAAATTTTGCTATTTTTATGAAGCTATCTCCTGCGTGTACTCGGTCTCCATGCGTCATAACGGAGAAGGGTATGCAGAATGGTAGATTGTCGACAGTGTATCGCACGAGCCCATGGCTCGTGCATCCAATACAGAAACGACAGTAAACCGTGGTTGTGCCTCTTGTGTCGGACTAACAAGATTCCCACCGAGGCTCACTTTTTGGATGCCACGTCAGAAGGGTTGGAAAAGACCTGAAAGTTTAGAAGGGCCGAAGTATGGACTGATATCGCCTTGATTGCCACCTTAGTGGGTAACCCCCTCCAGGATTTCACCAAGGAAGATCGGAGGAGGGCTAACGAGAGGGCTCGGGATTTTTGATGGATAGAAGGTAGGAAAGAGAAACAGAAAACAGACGGCAGTGGGATTTGGATGGTTGTATCGCATCCGTTCATGAGGTATGACTGGGTTAAGATGACACATGAAGAAACTGCGGCTCATTTCGCCGTACGGATCACGGAGTCGGCTATCGACAAAAATGAGTTGTACTGGTCCAATATCCGCGACGATGTGAAGTACATCGTCGCCAACTGTCAAGTCTACGCCACTGATAAAACGCCCATTCAGCCGCCAAGATCGATAGTGCCAACGGTAGTTGAACGGCCATTTCAAAGAGTCAGCATGGATACTACCGACATAGTGGTGCCCCTTGGTCCTAATAGTTATGAGTATTCAGTCCTGTTGGTATTCGTCGACCATTTTTCGAAATGGATCGAGGCCTACCCTTATCGCACGCGGCAAGCCGCTGAAATCGCACGATACGTCAACCGTTTCCTCAGGGTGCACCAGGATACGGAAGAGATCCAAACTGATAACGGGGCTGAATTTAGGGGAGAGGTACTGAGGAATCTGGTCATACATGGCGTCGCCATATGGAACACTGCACCCCATATATCACAGTCCAATGGGCTGGTAGAAAACGCGAACAGGGTGATAAAGACAGCGTTGCGACGAAATATCGAGCCACGGGATCCGAGGCCCTGACCTGATATTGTCGACCACATCCTGGCGGTTCATCGCGGTACACCTCATGAATCGACGGGGCTAAGTCCCTTCCAATTAAGGACCAATAGCATCGCTTGCGTTTCGATACCAAGCCTCCCGGATGAATCTACACTGAACCAACGACCCACCAGGGCCACGGCTCGGGACGAGGCCGAACGACACTTAGAATTAATGGAACGGTCCCTGCCAAGACTAGCTTGAAAACGGCACAGAATGACCGAGTTGGCCCAAGGCCGACAGGTCCGAAGCTACGAGGCCCGGAATGGGAACGCAGGCCCACGGCCCCAGTACAAATTAGGGGATATCGTGCAGGTGAGGAAATGTGCTCGCCAGGGTAAGCTAGCGCCATGATTCTTCGGGCGATTCCGTGTGATCGAACTCGGACCAAACGGCGTGAATACCGTGCGGCTTGCGCCTGAGGTCTCCGGCAGCCGATCGGCTCGCCCAATCATCCGCCACGTGTCCTACCTTCGTCCCCTTCCTCCTTCCCCATCTTCCCACTCATCTGATTCCTCCTCCACGGCGGAAGAGGGCGACGACTACCTATCTCCTGTCTCTCCATCTCCTTTCTGTTCTTTCTCTATTACTCTGTCACCATCGCCATGAGCTTTGCAACGGAGCCAGTGATCGGCGCGCGGCTACTTACTCCACGGGGGCGAATCATTGTCATACGGCAGGTGCAGCGGGCCCATCTCTGCTCTGATCTCCTCCGGTTCGCAACCTTCTTCAGCACGGCGGCGATCTACGAGGTGGCGGAGTTCCGATTCACGAAGGAGGCAACTACGCACGTTCTGGCCGAGATCTCGGCCTTCCGACGGCTATCCCCCCCCGGGATTAGCCATATCATCGTCGTGGTCGTCTTTACAGGGGATATCACAGCGATCCCGCCCGGCCCGGCGATTCACTCCAACATCTATCGGACGTTGCGCGCCTGGGCCGGGGAAGTGCGGGCAGCGTGGACAGATCTCCTTGCTCGACGAGGAGATACCGTCGTGCCGGTGCATGACACAGACTTCCAGCTCCGCTCGTCTCGAAGGTCGCCAGCGATCGTGCTTCTGGAGCTTCGTCCCTTCACGCCGCCCCAATTAGTTATCGTTGCGTCTCCTATTTCGGCCTCCCCTCCAGCATCCCCACCCTTTGGCAGTCTGTGCGGGCCCCTACTCTCTCCTACCGTATTAAGGAGAACAGTGCGCCGCTATTGAGCGAAGAGAAGTGGGACGCGTGGTGGGAGGACTACATCGAGCTCGCTTTCTGTCTATTGGAGATAGAGTTCCGCTGGTCAGAAGCGGCCTTATTTGGAGAAGGACCAGAGCACCGAGAGGACAGCGTGGAGCTTCTGATCATCGAAGCCTAAAGAACGGCGGAGCAGGGCAGTCTGCTGGGATTCTTATTCGGGAAGGTGGAGGAAGGCAATCTCACCCTGATCACGGACGAGTTGCTGGTGTTTCTGACTCAGCTGGTGGATGATCTGTCCCTAGACATCTTGTCACGCAGTGACGAGCAGCCTGGCACCCACGTGCTGTCTCGAACGCTCGAGCCGCACCTTGTGTGGTCCACGTGTACGGAGATTGACGAGGACAACTGTCTCTATCCCTCCCAGGCGCTTTACTTGGAGATCGACGTTACCGATCTCACGTTTTGGGACCCGATCGCGAGGAGAAACGCGGCGCAGGACAAGGAGATAGGGGGGGCAGAGGAAGAGGAGGAAGAAGAGGAGCCATCGAGTGAAGAACGGGACGATCCAGACTATGTCCCGGAAAGAGAAACGGGGATAGCTAGCGGATCGAGCCAGCCGCGTAAAAAGAACGAAGAGGAGGAAGAGCAGAGGAAGCGGAAGCGCCAGGAGACCGCCGAGGGAAAGCGACCCACGACAAACATTTCTCCTACCGATCCATCGATCGGGGATCCGTGGCGTGATCCGGAGCCGCCAGAAGAAGAAGACGATGGAACCGCGACAGAGGGATCGCGGAGAAGAAAAAGAAGAAGTGAATCGCCAGCTTCCTCTGGCTCCCCGTCCCGGTCCTCCATTCGTCTACATCAAGATCTCGGCGTTCAGGCTCCGTCCCCGGTCGTTCTCTCGCCGACCCCGTGACTACCTCATGCTTACCCGTCTTCCCGATAGACCCCCGTTCCCCGATGGTTGGTGTCCTTTCCCCCATCACCTTTTCTACCATCTCTACGCTACCCGCCTTCGAGTCTCCTTTTATCCGCATGCCACCACCCGCTCTGTGGTTGATTCCTTTCTCCTTCATGTGCTCCTGTTTAGTGCAGACTGGCCGGAATATAACCACGTAGAAATATACTGTATTATATTTGGAACTATTCCCGCCTGCGAAAACTACGAAGATTTTCGCGCCGCCCTGCGACGGACCCTTTCTACCATCTACCCCGATTACATCGCCGCTTTTCGCCATCTTCATGAGGTCCCTCGCTTCCCCCACATCCATCGCTCCTTCCACTACACTACCCTTCCTGATTTCGCCTCTCCCGCCATCTATCGATTTATGCCCCCTCTCCCCCTGAACCATCCGCCACCTCCACCCTCGGTGATTCGACTGCCATTCCCCGGGAACGTCTAGGGTCTACCCTCCTTTCTTACACGGATGCATGGTTGGCTGCCACGTGTCAGTTTACGATGAGTGTGACCCCCCCCCCCCCCC